GTGAGTTTGGTGAGGAGCATAAGTTCAGACCGTAGGCCTGTGGCTTGAGGTGTCCAAGGTGTTTGGGAGGCGATGGCTGAAATGAAGGGAACTGTGTATGACTTCCAAGCTCAACGGGGCAGCAGGGATTTCTCAGGGCACTCAGAGCCATTGCTGGCCAGCTTTACCAGCCCCGTTGAGAGTGGCACTAACCACTTGCTCAAGCTTGCAAAGCCAGAACTCTCCAGAGGCACAGAAAAGGAGGACACCGCATTCCAAGAGCTGCTCCAAGGGGAGCACCCAAACCAGTGAGCCCTGGGACTCTGGTATTGCTTGGACAGAACTTTGGTTTAACTGGCTTCTCAGATTTGACATTATAGAGGTTTAGAAACCTTTGCTCAACTGGGAGAATGGAGGTACCCACTTTTTGGAATCTGTCAACTGGGAGGCAGTCAACTACTTTGTCTGCAGCTCAATCAACTGGGGGAAACACAACCACGGGGGTGTTGGAGCAGGTCTGCCATGACATTCTCCAAGGAGCCCAACCTCCCACCTGCTGAGGAGGTCCAGCCCCTGGCCGAGGCCCACAGCCAGCCCAGTTCCTCTGGCCAGGGAGGGTCAGCTGCCCACGGCCAGGCAGCAGAGGTGCTGCTGGCTGTGGAGTGTGAATTAGCTACTGATTCAGGCAAATGTCTCCCGAGCCTGTTTCCGGGTTTGTACATGAGCACGATACCTTCTTTCTTACCAGCTGAGGGTCAAGAGTCATTGAAATGAGCAGAGATGTGAAAGCACATCATGGTCCCTCCAGCTTACTCCAGGCAGAGGGCAGAGCAGTTTCCATTGGGGTGCGATCTCCGATTCTCAGAAGGGGAAGGGTCGAGGCCAGGAGTTCTGGCTGAGGGGTGCCTAGGCCCTGCGGGGGGCACTGCTTGCTCGTTCCTCCCACGGCCACACAAAGAGGGAACGTCCCTCCCCATGCCAGGAGAGGAAAGCCGGGGAGCTCCCTAGCTTCTCTGTGCCCTCCTGCTCACTCCTGCCCAGAGGAGGAGGGTCCCTCCCTCGGAGAAGGAGATCCTGGGACAAGGCACTAAGCATGTCCCTGCCTGTTGGGGGAGGTCACTGAGAGGACATGACTGCCGGTTGACCCGAGAACTGGACCTGGGCCACTGGAGGCTCCTCCCTCCTCCCGTCCTTGGACCGGAAGTTCTCCCCACTGTTCCCACAGTTGGAACCATCTTCAAGGACGTGACCTTAAAAGCGCAATAAGGGGTTGAGACCATCTGGATGGTGTATGGGACCAAACTCAGTTAGGTCCTCTACATAAGCTTTAAGATCCTGGTGGCGGGTGCAGAGACTCATCGTGTGGATGCCCAAGACAGGCCTCATAAGTAAGTTCCCTTGCTTATTAACCCTGCCACCTGCCAATCTGGAGAGGCCACCTCTCTTCACTCTCGCCCTGTGCTCTGTGGCGAGGCAGTGTGTGGACCACTGGGCTCCCCATGGCCACTGCCTGCAGCTGCCCTTCTCTGGCTGGAGGAGCTCAGTCCTTGAATTCTGAGGGGTCGAGCAAGCCCATTTGATCTCCCATCTACTGCAGTACCCTCCTTGCAGTGAAGAAGCTGGCATTTTTATCTTGTTTGTCTCCTGGGCTTTATTTTGTGATTCTGAACTTGAGAGGTGGGAAAAAGAGTTATTTAAAGCCTCACGAAACCTAAACATTTTCCAAGGTAGGAGCAGGCATTCTCATGCTTGAGATTTTGAACTCTTTAAAGAAGCCAGACATGAGAAGGCTTCAGGGGCGAACTAAACACCCATCTATTTTGCTCTTGTCTGGAACCATCCGCATGGCTCATCACCAGCCCAGAGTGGTGTCATGCATGTCTGCTTTAGAAAACAAATGGAGTGTTCGTGAGTTTAATTCGCTGACCAAATACCTTTTAAGTACAGGGTCCAACTTGGGTCCTGGGGGTGAAGAGGTTGCCTCTGTGGGGCCCTCAGAGTGCCCCGAGGTCACCTTCCTGACTCTGGATTGAGCCTGTCCCTTTGCTGGCCGGGCTCCCTCTTGCTGCCCCAGGAGGAGGAGGCTCAGCGAGGCAGAGCCAGGTCAGTGAGCACCTTCTCTCCCTGGCAGAGGCGACTCTTGCTGAGCACTGAGCTCCCCCTCTCACTGCCCCCAGAGCTGCTGTCTGAGGGCTCCCTGCCACCCTGCCAATGTCTCCCTGGGTGCCCCTGGCTGGCTACATGGGCACTAGTAAGGGAACTTACTTTCGGACAGCTAAGTGCTCTCAAAGAATAAAGCCCACAGGGAAGCAAACTCCAGGCAGGGGTCTTCCTGAGGTTGGCGTGCACGGTCTGGCTGGGTCGAAGGGTTTTGCTGGGACATGTCAGCTTTAGCAAATGTATCAAAGAGCTGAAGTCTCTGCCTGGCGAGGGAGCTGCGGTCAGACTGTCCTAAGTTTTGGTGCTGGTGATGTGGCCCTGGGCAGGTCCCTTCCGGTGTCCGAGCTCTAGCTCTGCAACCGTGAAATATGGCTAATGACTCCTTCCTCAAAGGGCTATGGCAGAGGCGACAGGTTTCAGAAGGATGTACACTGGGGGGCTACATGAGTGGTTTCAGTGACACATGGATGGACAGTCAAAAAAATTTTTTTTGATATGCCTTAGAAAAAACTTGGACTCGTAGATCAACCTTATGATTTTACCAATGTCACGGCTTCAGATGGGGCTAAAATACAGATGTCACGTCTGAGTCTGTTTAAAGGAAAATATCAAATCAAAAAGTAGTACCGATGGTAGGAGAGTGTGACAGAATTTTTGAAATGCAACCCAAAAGACCGCTCTGAGAATGTGAAGTCCCTAAAACTCTGCCTGCCAGCAGCAGGCGCTCTTGAAACGCTGCCTGTCCCGGTCCCTGGCCCGTCAAACCAGGCCAGGGCAGGACCAAAGGACAACCTAGCTGGGGGCAAAGCTGGAAAGAGTTAAAAGAAGGGTCTGCGTTTCCCAGCCCATCCCCCAGCAGCTAATCTGTCAGCTAATGAAGAAGCGGCCGGCACAAGTGAGCTAGCAGGCAGTTCACTTACAGCAAACTGATTAGGAATGTTCAACCAACAGCAGACTGTAGACCTTTCCAGAGAAAATAAATAGAGTGTAGACTGTATGCAAATGTGTTTGTCACTTTGACAGCACGTCTCAATTAAGGCATCTCGCGGCTGTGGGTAGGCTCCACGGCTGCAGCTGGAAGGGAAAGCCGGCTGCATGGCTGATACTTGGGGCTTGACCTTAATCCGCATGCATGCATTAAAACCCCTGCCTTCCTGCACACTTGCATAATGCTGGCAGCCACGTGAGGGAAGTGACAAACGGGGAAAAAAGCCACTTTCATCCTCTCCAGTTTACAGACCTGTGAAGGCACAGACAGCTCTTATTTCAACAGAGTTTGGGGTGGCTTTTTTAATTGTTTGTCCCCCACCCGCACACACACACTCTTATTCTGCATTTAGCTGGGAATGACATTAAAGCGTCTCTACTTCTTCCTGAAATGGAAAGAAGGTCTTTCTCCATTTCAAATAGGGCCTCCTTTTTTGTGTTTCGAAAATGGAATGTTTAACACCATGAAATCCCTCTCCCCCGCCCCCTCTTTCTCTGTAATGGGCTCCAAACTCCAGCGAGGGGCTCTTTTCATGGGAAGGTTCCTGTGTGCAGGAATGAGGACAAAGGCAGGCAGGAAGCTGCTCTGGAATGCCATGCTGGCGACGGCGGGGCCGGGCTTTCAGCAAGCCCAGCCAGGGAACCGGGCCGGATTTCTCCAGCAGGGCCTGAGCCTCCAGGGGGCAGCTCGTCAGGGGCGCAAACATCAACGAAATTTGAAGATAATCATCAAGCAAACGAGCTCTGCCCCGTGGATGCTTCTTTCTTATGCTGTATTTCAATTTTTATAATGTCCCTTTTAAGTGTAAAATCAGGAAAGTTTAAGATGTATGAATGTATTATCTGAAAATATTGATTACAGAGGAAGATTCTTATGTTTTAACAAATTCACACCTTGCAATCAAAACCCATAACAACAATTACATTAGTTCCCTTCATTTCTAAATAGCTCTATGCCTGGTACACAGTAGAAACTTGATAAAGGTCTCTTAAAAACGAACATTTTAAAATGTATGCTTCTAACTCCTTTATGTGATAAAACAGCAATCATGTTTAATATAAAATCACAAAGACTATTTTAATCATGCTTCATCTAATAAATAGCTAAAGAATCAGGAGATTTCAGAATAAATAACCTTGTAGATTCTTATTATATCTTGTTAACAGAACCATTTCGTATAAACCAAAAAATTATGACTCTTGCTAATCAAGAGAGTCAATGTAAGCGTAGTAGGGGAGGGTAATACAATCTTTTTCAACCAAAAATATAACCACCGGTAAGAAATGGATAAAAGAATTTCAGTTTCTATACAGAGTACCATGTTTTACTTAAGAGAAAAAAAATCAAATAGACAATTTTTCAAATGCTCACTCAGGTCGCCAAAATAGTTGGTTACAGAATCAGATCCCTAGAATTCCAGTGTGGTGCTTACTCTGAGAAGCAGGTCTCCCGATAGTGATTTTCAGGAACTACATTAATAAAGAACTCCTAATTGATTTTCTAAAGAGTTTGCTTGTTGCCTTTTATTTGGAGGTGCAGAGAAGGGCCTGGGATGCTCAAGTGTTCTAATGAGACGCTTGGCTAACAGGCACCCTGAACGGAGCGCCCTGGGGTGGGAGGCAGCGGCTGCCCTTTAATAACTTCACTCAGGGTTCAGCTAGTTTATGACCAGAGCCATGCTGTTTCCTCAAAGTTTTTGAAAATTTTCCTTCAAAACATGTTTGCACCAAATAAATACTGGAAGATGTGTAAACTCCACGGAATTATTTTACCATGGAGCTGAAATGAGAAAGCGCCAGCTGCGTGTGTCATGGCTTCTGAGGCAAAGCAAAGCAAAGCAAACCCAGACCAGTCAAAGGGCTGGGGTGCATACCTGTCCGAAGTGGACTGTGATTGGCCTTCGGTCTTCTCGGAGCTTGGGGTCCTTGGCCTCCACCAGGGGGGACGGCATACTCTTTGGTAGTTGCTCTTCCAAGGTGGGGGCACAGCCATTCTCCGTGATGTCCTGTGGGGAGAAGTCAGCCAGGGGTTGGTGTCAGGGTCTTGGCACCTGCCGTGAGCACAGGTGCTCCCTCCAACCCCAAAGCTAAGAGCCAGGCCATGGAACTCCCTCTGGGACATTTAGAGCCCATCTTCCTGCTAGAGATAAAGGACTTCCGAGGGCTAGAGAAACCCAAGCCATACACTTTAAATTACAGACAACATAGTGATTCGCACTACTGGGGGCGACAACCATTCATCCTCCTACTGTACAGGGCTATTTTCATTTTCACATGTTCACTTTGCCCACATGCGGACACTTAAAAATTACTTTCAATCACAGCTCGTGCATAACTTGATGTTCTACTTTTCCCACTATATTATAAAGATCTCCATAGTGTTGTATAGTCATTACAATGACAATTTTAATGATGCATAATATTTCATTAAATAGCCATACATAATATAATAAACCATTCTACTACCATCAAGCATTTAAGTTGTTACTTTCCCCTTAACATCACAGTGATGAACACTGCAGTTTTTCTTTCTTTTGGATTACCTTTTTCACAGAAATTCTTAGGAATACAATTACTAGGTCAAAAGATATAATCATGTTTAAGGCTTTTTATTCATTCTACCAATTTGCTTTCCAATTTACACCACTATCAGCAATGGATGCGTTGAGAGTTACAAAGTACTCGTTAGCCTTATCGTTTTAAAAATGTATCGCTAATTTAAGAGGTGAAACATGAGAACTCATTGTTGTTCTAATTTGTATTCCTTTGATGATTTGAGAGTGTGGACACTTCTCCCACATTTGTTTACTGGTGATACTACTGTTTGTGAAAACAATGTGTTCTCCCTCCCTCTTTCTTAGTCCTAATCTTTCCGGCAGAGAATGAAGAGACGGAAGTCTGATTCTATGACTTGGAGAAAATTTAGGATGCTAAAGTCATATTTTTAAATTTAGAAATTTACATTTAATTTGTGCTTCTGATGACTGAAGTCAAATTAGAAGGAGAGGAAAAGCCCAAGGTGTCAAAGGCAGGTAATGGCTCCTTTGGCTAACGCTGGCAGCTGACTATATACATGGTTCTTTGGGATGTGTGGGTGGTACCCACTTGTACAATGAGGACCACATGATTTATTCAAGTTGTGAAACTGCTTAAATCTTCATTGAAGCAAGGCCGAGAATAAATATACAAATAAAACACATTTAAATGGTTATTTTTCACCAAGTAAAAATAGCTCATAGAAATAACAAATACAATTTCCAATTCTTTTAATTGCAAAAACAAGTACACATTTTGGTGAACAAAACACACATTTTTAGCACTCATTAAATACCGCATATAAGGACTTAACCATTGGTTGTTCGTAACTCCTCAGCCAAATGGAGAATGGGGGTGCGTGCAGGAAAGTGGTCCCTTACGAAATAGTAATGCATTAAGGCCGAAACACATGTAACATCTGTGAGCTTTGGTCTCCTCATCTGTAAAATGGGGATATGGTAGCTACGAGCAGTAAAGGGTAATGTAACATGAAAGTGTCTAGAGCATTAATAATGGGCTATACTTGGTGTTCAACAGACTACAGGAATTTCTGTGTGTGTGTGTGTGTGTGTAAAGTCAACCCCCCACACCCAGCTGCAGTCTGTAGTCGGTTTGGTACAACACCGGGGGATGAGCACCTCTTGGTTCTGCAGGCAGGGCTCATCAAGCAGCCCACAAGTCCTTCCCGGCTGAGGCTCAGTGATGAGAGAGGTTGCTGACAGCCAATTAGAAATGGCTCTTTTGGAAAGGGGCTGCCTTAAGGTGCTCAGGTCAAGTGGAACAAAGAGGGGGAGGGGCTCCTTCTGAGCCAGAAAGTAACAAAGGGCAAAAGGGGCATTTTGGATCCAGTGGGGTTACCTAGAGGACAGACACAAGAGGTTGAATGAAGCCAAACAGTAAAAAAAAAATCACTTTTTGTTCAGGAAAAACATTGTAAGTGTGTGTGAGTGATTGGCTAAGAAAAAGAAATGGAGCAGTAAGTTAACACAGTAAGAAAATACTGATGGTGATGAAAACTATAAGATGATAGCTATTTTAAACATGTATGTGGTAGTTTGGGGAAAATGTCTTAGTTTAAGCTTACAGGTGAAAACATTGTCTTCTGGTTTTGTTTTTCACCACCTGGTAGCTCTCTATCTGATCTTCCCAATTCACTCAACCTCTCTGCAACCTAGTTCTTTATTTTTACAAGGGGGAGACCACCTCCTGCTTGGGAAACTTCAAAGCCACTGGGACAATGGGTTAAATGAGATGAAATGTGAGGGAGCATTGAAAAATGTTACAATACTGTGCAAATTGAAAGTTAAATCCTTACTCCTGCAAAATGGGAAGCACACCATCTGAAAAGAGCCGCCCCGTGGTGAGCGCCTCCTACTGGCAGGCACTTTCCCAGCCCCTTGACCTTCACTGTCATACTTCGTTTCCACAACAACCAAGAGGCAACAGGAGTATCACACTTTTCTAGGTGAGAAAACAGGGCTCAGAGAGGGCAACTTCTCTAAGGCCACGCAGCTAGAAAGTAGAAGAACACAGACCTATGTGATTTCTGGCACTGAAACTCTATCAACGTTAACAATAACAAGTGCAGGTTTTCTGAGATCAGGAGACGCTCAGCAAGTCATTAGCTGTGATCTCCTCAGAAACCCTTTCCTTACAAGACCCTATGCTGCCTTATGATATCCGGGCACTTATCTTATCCCCACAGACTGTGAATTCCTTGGGGTTTGGGTTCTCTGCCTCAGAGCCTTGAATAAACTACATGTTCTCCAACAAGTCTTTGTAAAGTTGAGTTGCACATTTAGAAGGCAAATGTGTCCAATATACAAACATGTTTGTGTGTCAAAAAGTTGTGCAGCACATTCGTTTTATCTAGTTAGAGGACCCGAAGATGCCAAAGACTTCTTGCAAGTCTCCAGGCTTGCCCCACCAATTTATTAACTTCTGCACTATTTCTTCCACCTGGGGAAGGACAACTGCTTCCTCCCCGGAGAGCAGAGTGTGGGAGGAGCCTCGGTCAAGAAAGAAATAGGGCCAGTTCACATCCTGCTAGCAGAGGTCTTACACAGAGGAGGGAGCCAGTAACAGCAAGTCTTGGTACCCATGATTAAAGAAATTGTGGTCTAAGAGCTAACTGAGAAGCTGCCCGCAAAGGGTATGGAAAAAAGGCAGTCTTAGACATTTAAATGGCAATATAAATGGGAAATTTATATCAAAACCCTAAAAGAGGAACATGCCCTTTGGCCATTAATTCCATTTCTAGAAATTTATCCTGATGAAGTAATCAAGAATTCCTGCAAGGTTTTATCTATAGGATATTTGCCTAGAAAAAACTGGAACTAACTTAAGTGTCTAACAATGGTATTGATTAAGTAATGTCTATAAGTCCCTCAGATAAAATTGCACATACGTATTTAAAACAATGACATGTGGAAGAAACAGTCAGTGGTCTGGGAAATGTTCAGGATATAGTAAGTGAAAATGCAGGTTACAAAATAAGATCATTTTTATTTTGTCTGATTTGTTGAATTTTCTTCAATCAACATGTTTTTTGTTTATAAGTGGAAAAAAATACTGTCAAAATGTCATTTTAAAAAGGGAAAACTAAGAAGCTGACAGGAGAGGTAAATCTGTTCCTGCCTGCAGGGTCACACAGAGGAAGTCACTAGACAGAGCTGCCGATCAGAGGCCACCATGGGTGGCACATCTCTTCCCAGAAGGCAGGGACAACATTGGACGAGCCCTTGGACAGAGTACCCACGAGAGGCCAGGAGGGGGTCAGACACGGAAACAGCGGAGGCTGTGACTTCATGAGGCAGAGATGTGACAGAGCATTCCTAGCCCAGGGAGCTGGAGCACGGCCTGGCTCAGGAGTGGTGGATGGCAGCTGGGGCGTGCCAAGAACCTCCTGCTCAAGGAGGTGGAAGGTGTATAAGGTCTGAAGGTTTTATCTAGGGGAGTGACTGGGTCAGATCGGGGTTCTAGAAAGACTGCTCTGCTGGCTGTGTGGATGACCGAAAGGGGGTGACCCTGTGCCAACTGTGTTCTGGCGGCATGTGCTTGGGGGCTTGGGCAGATTGGCTGCTCCAGATTTGGGATGTGAGAAAACAGACAGGATGGAAACTCCAGTTCACTGGGTGACTAGTAAGGGTTGCTGTTTAAACCCATTACCTCTTTTAATCCTTAGAACAATCCAGTAAAAAAATCTCTATTTCTCTTAGATGAGAAAAACTAGGTTCACAGAGGTCAAGTAAATCATTCAAGGTCACATAACTAATATCTTAGAAAACCAACACTGAACCTAGCTTGTCTGCCTCAGAAGTCCAAATACCAGGCCACAGTGTTGGGGCTTACAGAACCCCGCGGGTGTGGGCAGGGGTCTTACCACCTCTGACTCAGACTGCTGGTCTCCATTTTCAGATTTGGGCGGTGCCCTTCTTTTCCAGTCTACTTCACACCCTAGCACATGCAAATTAAAATATGAATACTGATATCAAAACAGCATCCAAAGCTGGAATTTCCAAGAGGGAGGAGACCGGGAGCTGACAGCTGTGTGTGAAGGTGTGAAAACGTCTGTTCTACAAGAATTTACCCAGATCTCCCTGACCCGTCACGGGTGCTCCCTCACTCCCTTCCATACACTCGGGAACGTCTGCCCGAGACTCAAGCCTTTGATGACCCAGTGAGCTTGCTCCTTTTAATCACAGAAACTAAATCAGCATGCTTGATGAATCTTTTAAAGATCAAATATTTAGAAACATTTGATGAAATCATTTTGATACCGAAGAAAAAACATTTTTTCAGGGATTCCCCAATAGGCAACACCCCCCCCCCAAAAAAAAAAACACAAACAAACAAACTCATCCTCTTGAGAGACTCTTACTGTGCCCTGCAGGTGAGGAGGAGCAGGGCATGTGATGCCAGCCGGGTGCCGTGCTGTGACTGGATGCAGTCTGGACGACCGCGAGCCCCGCCACGCGGCCTTGTCCGTGGCAGGAGATGCTCAGGGGCAAAGTGCTCCGCTCTCCCTTTAGGAAGAACGCTTAGGTAGGATCTTTGCCATTTCCCTTCTTCCTAATTTTGAGCAAGTCAGACTTCAAAGGAGGCCAAGCTGTAGATAAACTTGACCACCTTGCTCCATTTATCCAGAGAAATATGTTACCCATCCTTCCTTTTTTGTTGTTGGGCTGAAGCAGAGCAGGTATGGAATAAAGCCACGATACAGTATCTAGTACAATTATTGGCCAGTGGTCACACGATACCCTGAAAGCTCCCGCTTCGAACGCTTTGAAAATCGACAGCACAAATGAACAAGGGATGGAGAAGGGGCCCTGCTCAGTCATATTAGAGATGGACCCTTCACACACCATGGTGACCTCTCCACAGGTCGGCCCCACATTTTTTATTTGCAATTCAAACCCAAGGCGAGGGCACAGAGGGCAAGACTGGGTTCTTGATTATATCTGCGAGGTCACCATTGCTATGCAGCTAGAGAGGCCAGGTGGCAACCCAGTACATTTGAAAACTGGATCTTTGTTCGGAACTGCCTCAATTTCACAGCAGAAACCAAACTTGAGATGTCTGTATTAGATGTATGTGGGAGCCACATCGATGTTGCCACAAAGAGGGGAGGGAACAGGGGGGAGGGGAGCAAGAGAGCCAGGGAAATATTTCCTGCAGCAGTGAGAGAGGTCAGAAGAAGCCAAATCCTACATTAGCTCAAGAAAGGGAGCTGGAAGATCTGCAGAGGACCAGGTCCTGTCTGCCCTGAACAATGCTAGAGTTTCAGGGACAAAAGAGCTCCTCCAAGCACAACTGCCAAGTATCAGGTCTGGAGAGAGCTGTAAGACTGAAGGGGGGAAGTGAAAATTGAAAAGGGTGCCCTAATGGATCTGTCAACAGTCCGCTGGTGACAAGCTCCGTTTCTATAAAATGCCTTCACCGTGTGTGTCACCTGAAATGTACTGACACTCTCTACAGGACATTATCTCCTGAAGCTGTTCTTGAAAAGGCTGGCAGGGGGAAGAGGAGAAGGGGAGGAAAGTCTGCTTCAGATACTATCAAGGAAAGAAAGGACAGAGAGATGGTGTGGAAGGAGAGAGATCTGGATTGTTTAAGTGAACCTTTGAACAACAGCATCAAAAAACCTGAGCATAACCAGTTATTTGCAGAAATGTTACGTACCATGAAGAAGGGGTTTTCTTAACGCTCACGTGTACGGGAGGCAGTGGCCTGCGGAGAGCAGGTCTGACCAGTGAGGCACAGCTGTCCTCTGCCTGAGGAGGGACCCCTTTCTTTGCTTACTTCAGGTAATATTCTAATACCAGCCAGAGTCTGGGATGCAGCCATTAGGGGGAAATCTGGTGAGATACCCCCCGCCCCCCATTTTATACCTGCAATCCAATCCAGTTACATGCGATTGGGATAGGAGATGAAAAGGTATATATAGGTACTTAAATAGCATCCGAGTAAAGAAGTCCACCTGCCAGTCTTGGGCAGGGTGCAGCAGACCATGGTGAAGGTCTATCTGGATTTACATAACAGGATTTTAATTTTAGGATTTAAATCTCAGTTGCTAAAAATTCACTCAGTTGAAACAAAAAACTTAAATGCTTAGAGCAAATTATTTAGCAATTAAAAGAATGGACTCAATTCCTTTGACCATTTCAAGTTAATGAGAGGTTCCTTCTAACTTCATAAAATTAAAACTGCTTTAAATTTTTTAAAAACTGCCAAGAGAGACCAAGGCCCTGATTAGATGGCACATTTGGGGTGTGTGGGACAGAAGGAATCAATCCCAACATCTTTTGCTTCAGGAAGACAGTATGAAAGCCTGCAGTGGTTAAGACCAGAGATGCTGGCCTAGATGGATCTGGAATGTAATCCTGGCTCGGCCAGCCTCAGTGTGACCCGTGGGCAGACGATTTCACCTTTGAACTGTGGTCTCCTTAGATGGGAAATGGGAATATTACCCTCTGCCCCAGGGTGGTTCCAAGGATTAAATGTGAAAGCTCCTAGCCTGGGCCATCCTTAGTGCTCAGTGAAGGGTGCTGGCAGTAACAACGATGACGGGCACTCACAATGATCTGAAAATGCCCTCTATTAGGTTAACCTTCCCTGTACACGTCTAGGGAATCAGGTAGAAGAACTCTGAGTCAGGATGTAGCCTGTGTGAATTTGTACGATTTTACTGATGGGCCATGAAGACAAACAGAGCCACTCCCTGCCCCTGAGTCTCAAACACAAACTGCTGGGCTCCTCTGGGTTGAAACCACCACTGTGAGGAGAGCCCACAGCGTCCTCCTCAAACCCACCCTCTGCCCTGAGCCTGCACAGCGGTCATTTCCCTGGAGATGCTTCTTGGTTTTGGTTACAACCGGTCCCAGGTCAGCCGTAGGAAGGAGTGGTCCAAGATGGAAAGACCGAGCCAGTCTCTGCAGACTTGGGCGGACCCTGGGCCCAGTGGGGTGGGCAAGGGACAGGCCGACAATGGTAACTCTGAACTCGCTTGCCTTTGTGGGTTTAAGCCAGTGCCTTAATGATATTTGAAGACAGTTTTTTGTCTGTGAATATTTATAACAGTGTGAGAACTCCCGGACAGCTGGTAATGCATTTTGAAGTGTGTTAACAACACTGTATCAAACAGCCCTCTATTGATCACATCATACTTTTTTGTGGCCACGCATTTCATACACGGTGCTTATACATTTTGAATAAGAACTTCAAGTACCTTTTGCTTCAAGCGGTTTTTCACCTCTTTTATTCCCATTTTTGCATGATCTTTTGCCTGCATGAAAAATTAATTTAAGTTAAGATTCCCTTTCTGTTCCCAGCAGGGACTAGGCTTGATTTCAGTCCGTCGTGAATCACCTTCTCTGATTACTAGAAAAAAGGGAAAATGGGATCATCAAGTCGAAAACATAATGGCTATGAAAACAAATACAATTTTAAAAGGTTAAAAAAGAAAACAAAACCCTCAGAGAGGCTACAGAGATTTTATTTTCTGCATTTTGATGGCACAGATATTTCCCCTTTCGACTCTCTCTGATTATTTACCTCAGCCGCCTGGTGACAGTGACCAGTAAGAGCTGAGCAGCAGCGCTTCTGGCTGCAAGCTTCAGAGTGTCTGTCCCTTCCCCAGGCCAGGGCCTCAGGACCGGTTTTCTGTCCAGGCTGAATGGCCTGAATGGACACATCGCTGGGTCTCTCCAGTGCCACTTCTCAAATCTCATTTCGACAGACACCCTTTTATTTTCTGTCACATTAGACCTGTGTGGTTCTGTTCGCAGCCACCCACCAATAACTATAATTTAAGCAGAGAAAGGACTAACAAAATTAAAAATGGAAATAAAACAAAACCACCCCAGTTAAGTGGCTCACAGTCAAATCAGCAAGGAAGAGAAATCACGAGAAACAAATACTTGAGGCTCGTAAAAGATGAAGCACCGGGGACGGTCGCGTCCCGTTTTCACTGCTGTGCACAAGGCTCACAAACAGCATTTCTGATGGGGCAGTGGTGACAGACGATGCAGAATTTGGGACAAGAATTAGGACGTGTCTCCCATATAAACACTCTTCAGTGACCTGCAAAGGAGCCATCTGTTTTGACGTAACAATAGGGACACACAGGAAAGGTTTGCTAGAACACCCGAGAGACCTCCTGGTCTCAGGGTCCCCGCATGGAGCAGCCAGATTAAAAAGCTACATTTTAAAAGCTAAAACCTTTAGCTCCCAACTTGTGGCAACTGTAGGCAGAAACACTTTAAATTAAAAATGCCACTGGCCTGGTCCTAAAATATCAATGCTAAATGATTCCAGGAGCAGCGAGAGCTTCACGAACAGCACAGCAGCTGTGCCACCTCTGCGGGCAGGGCCAGGTGTGTTTAGGAGCTGCCACCTCTGCGGGCAGGGCCAGGTGTGTTTAGGAGCTGCCACCTCTGCGGGCAGGGCCAGGTGTGTTTAGGAGCTGCCACCTCTGCGGGCAGGGCCAGGTATGTTTAGGAGCTGCCACCTCTGCGGGCAGGGCCAGGTGTGTTTAGGAGCTGCCACCTCTGCGGGCAGGGCCAGGTGTGTTTAGGAGCTGCCACCTCTGCGGGCAGGGCCAGGTGTGTTTAGGAGCTGCCACCTCTGCGGGCAGGGCCAGGTGTGTTTAGGAGCTGCCACCTCTGCGGGCAGGGCCAGGTGTGTTTAGGAGCTGCCACCTCTGCGGGCAGGGCCAGGTGTGTTTAGGAGCTGCCACCTCTGCGGGCAGGGCCAGGTGTGTTTAGGAGCTGCCACCTCTGCGGGCAGGGCCAGGTGTGTTTAGGAGCTGCCACCTCTGCGGGCAGGGCCAGGTGTGTTTAGGAGCTGCCACCTCTGCGGGCAGGGCCAGGTGTGTTTAGGAGTTCTGTCATGCTCGGGAGCAGACTGTTTGGGTCCTGAGACCAAGACCAGTACTTACAAACTTATAGACAGTCTTCATGGCCGGGTTGGCTTTCGTTTTCACAGTATTCAGAATTGCTCCACTTCCTTTCTATAATAAAAATGTCAATTAGCAATTTGGACTGAAGATGTAGTAGGCCAACAGCAACAAAGACCTCTTCTCTTTAATCAAGTTAAGCAACACTTCAAGAGTGCGTAATTTAATTAGAGAAATAGGCCTGGATGGGAACTGGTCCCAGGCCATTAGGTATGGCCATGGCAGAATCACTATGGGTGTTGGGGCGGGGTGGTTGGGATGGAGACAGTGATGAGCTGAGGGGGACTCCAGGCTTAGTACTGTGCTTGGCACCTGTCCACTGGCCGGAAGGAAAGCCCATCACAGGCTCTGAGGTAAGGGCTTCCCCGCAGGATTCTACAGCTTGTTGAGATAGTCTAGTTACCAGGACAGCACTGAGGTACGGCTCATAACAATGGACTCTATGGCTCCTACCAAGCTGGGGCAGAAAACTGGGGGCCTGATTACCCAGGATTACCTGGCTGTGCCATCCCAGCCATGCACCTTCCTGTGCTCGCCCTCTGTTGTTTTTAATCACACTGGTAGGCTGCCTTCCTTAACATCTATCTATAGCTTGAGAAAGAGAAAGAATGAACAGCCATAAGTGTTAATCATGGCTTTAGTGTAACTCCAACACACCGATTTCTTGGCTCAGTTCTTTAGGAGAGCAGGGGAAGAAGAGGAGACAGGTGAGGAGGAGGAGGAGGGGGAGGGAAGGCTTTTCCAGCACACAAAGGAGGCGATGAATGGGTACGAAGCGCACAGGCATGGGCTCCCAGAGGGAATGTCCCGCCAGGCTCTCGGGGCACTGGGCACAGGAGGGCTGGTCTCTGCCTTCAGAGACCTCCAGTCTGGAGGGCACAGGAGAGTGGGGGAAGCTCATTGTCTGGAAGGCCAGAGGAGGCTTTAGAGGATGAAACATCTGGCCTGGTCCTGAAGGAAGAGTAGGAGTCTGTGTGGGGGCTGGGAAGGATAAGAACATCCTGGCGATAGGAACTAGCACAGGCACAGTGTGGAAGCTGAGAGGCCATGGCATGTCTGTGAGGAACAAGTGGGCAGTGCATCATGGGAGGGATGGCAAGTGGGGCTGTGAGGCCAAATGGGGTCAGCTCACAAAGGGCCAGGATCAGGAGTCTATACTCTAGAGCAGTGGTTCTCAACCTGTGGGCCTTGACCCCTTTGGGGGTCAAATGACCCTTTCACGGGGGTTGCCTGAGACCATCAGAAAACACATATTTCCGATGGGCTTAGTAACCGAGACACGGCTCCTCTATCCGTCTCCAGGCAGGTCCGCCCACATGCAGATGCGCCTGCATACAACACGAGGACCTGTGTTACAGGGTCGCAGCATTAGGAAGGTTGAGAACCACTGCTCTAGAGGATTTTTAATCAAATGTATCACATAATCAGGTCTGTAGTAGTTTGGAAAGATAATTCCAAATGATTTGAACAGAGAGACTGGATCCAGTGACTATATGAAAGAATAAGATACAGTAATGTGGTTATTGGGATAAACTTTTAGCATAATTTCTGGTGACCCTTGTCCATATTAGAAATTTTGTGTTTTAATTAAAAACATTACAATTTGACCTAGAAAGCATTCTATGTTGCAGGACAATATGAAATTTTCACCTACTCATTTATTCCATACTGCTTTCCAAAATTACTCAGTATTCAGTTTCAATGGTCCTTTGGAATAGTAAAACTCTCTTTATCAATCAATCAACAAGTCCTTATTGCTTGTCTATGATTTGCCAAGTGCCATGTTTGGCCATACCAGCAGAACAAAAGAAGTCTTTCAGTGAGGAGCTGCTTACTCTCGGCCAACTGCAGCCACTTCCAAGGGACCCGCCTTGGCAGCTGCGCACTTGGCCCACGAGCAGGGAGAACACTTATCACATTATGTTGCAGTTGCCTGTTTACGTGCCTGCCTCCCAAGCAAGATGGGAGCTCCCCAGAGCAGGCCTGTGTCTGCTCCCCACTGGATCCCCCACTCGGGAATGGCGCCCGGCACACAGGCCTGCAGCCCGCGCTCACTGGTATAACGTGAGAAAAGGCAAGACTGAATTCTTCAGTGGCTTCTGAAGCCCTAAGCACCTGGCTTCTAGTGCAGCAAGAAACTGTCCACAGGACAGCGAGGGCTGGAAAGGTCTCTCAGTGATGTGCTCTCCATCTGCCCAGGAGCCTTGGCTGTGAGAAACACTTCAGAGCAGCAAGAGGGACATATTTTTGGTTTTCCCAGGACAATTTCCCAATTGCAGTCGCCCTGGAAGGAGACACCCAGAAATGCTCTAAGATGACGACATCCACTTGACACGCCTTGGCCGGCATCCAGGGATGAAGAGGTTTCTCCTGGCTCTCCTCACCCTCACCAGGATGCTTGGACAGCCTCACCCGCCAGTTCCACCTGGCTTTACAAACAAAAACATCTTCAGCTGACAGCATGGAGTGCCCTGGGCGAATGACAGCCTTGTGGGTGGCAGGATGGTGCAGGGCCGCCAGGAGGCGAGGGGGTGGGGGTGGCAGGTGGCTGGGAGGAGAGCACACTTACCCGGACGGTGAAGAGCCACTGGTGGTACAGTCTGTCGCTGCCTGGGGAGAGAGGAGTCAGAGCACTGTCACACACAGCAGGGATGTGCGTCCCGGAGCTCCCCCAACTGCCCTGAGCACGCAGGCCTGAAAGTTCAAAATCAGGAGAACACGGAGGCTCCCTGCCCTACGCCCGGAAGGAGGCAGCAGCCAGGTGCTGCCACAGGCTCTCTCTCAGTGCCTGGTGCCCTGGGCACAAAGCAGTCGTCCTCGCTGCCCTCTGGAGGGCAGAGCCCTGGGTTCACTGCCTCTCGCAGCCTCGCCCGCCCTCTGCCGCTCCTCCTGTGCGACCTTTCTGTGCGACCCCTGTGCCAACCTCAGGGAACGACCAGGGGCTCTGACTCGCCCCCCAGTCCTCCAGTCCTCATGAATGCTGCTCCCCTTGCTGGCCACTGCCCCTCCCCCCAGTCACTAAGCCACAGTTTAGATGTCATTCCCGCCAGAAGCTTCCTTCATCTGGACAGGGGACACATCCTGAAAACCATCTCTCTGAAGTCCTGTGAGCTACCCCAGCAGGAAACAGGGCGTGCGCCCCAGGGCAAGCGCGCTGCTGGACACGACTCGGTGCTCAGCGCGGTGGAGTGGTGACTCGGAAAGGAAAAGGGGTGTTGTTGGGGGCCTTGTTCATCTTACCTGCTGGGCTAGGAGGTCTTATCAGCAAACAGCTTTCTAGATGTCAGAATGGCCTGAGTTACGTTAGCAACACAGAAGGCCCATCTTCTCCTCAGAACAAATATTCAACTGTTGAACTACTCAAGCCCGCCTCCTCTATGAAGCTTCCCCGTTGCACAGCGAGAACTCAGAGCGCCATTCTAATGGCACAACATCCGTTTCCACTCTGGTTCCTGAGCTCGTTTCGTCTGCACTTGTCTTTAGTTACACATCTTTCTCCTCTCAGTTTAAAAGCTCCCTGAGGGCAGAACTGGGTCTTCCATGTCTTACTCTGCAGGCCTCTGGACCCAGCAGGTGGCAGGAGACGCTTTTCAAGGCCGCCATGGCCCTCTGGCTCGCACACTGTCTTCACTGATTATGTTCCGCATGCAGTGCAGGCTGCTTGGACCCGTACAAGGGATTTTGTAGGTGACAGTTCGCCTGACTTGATGAGTTTAGGATGGCCAGTTGAATTATCAGCGTAGTCCAGACCAGACATGCGCCCAGCAATAAGAGAAGGCCAGCAGCAAGATTGTTGTTATTTTGCTTTTAATTTTTACTTTGCTGCCAAAGACAGAGGCTTGGGGTCTTGGAAAGCATGCCGGACTGGGATTCAGGAGGTGGGGTTGGCCACAACACCTGCCTGGGCCTCTGACCCCCTCTGAAACCTGAGAGGGTGAGCCCTGCAGTTCTGAAGGCCTGCAGAGACTGGCCCTCCAGTGCTTTCCAGTTTGAAGAAACACTGACTGAGCAGGGTCTGTCCGGGTGACTGCACAAACCTCTCCTCGTGGCCTCTGATTCAACTGTCACAGGAATCCTGTGAGGCAGGCACTGTCACCCACAGCAGAGGTGAAATGACTCGACCACATTCCCACCGCTACTAAGGAGACAGTCCTGACCAGAATCCAGGTCTCCTAACTTGACCTCGAGTGTTTTCCACTGCACCAAGCTGGCCCCCCAACAGAGGACTGCAGATGGGCCAATATGCATCTCATCAGACTAAGAGTGGTTTCTCAAACTCTTCAAGGCCAAGGTTGAAATAAGTTTCTCCGTGACCCCAGTGAAGGAAATGAAATCACTGGTGCTCCTCGCTGGGTACACCCTAATCCCACATTAACAGCACGCAGCACAGAAAGGAAAATAAAACGTTTCTCACCAGCATACTCGCCCATGTTGATCTCCTCTTCAAAAACATCACTGAAACCTTCGCCGGAATTGAGAAGGTCTAATCTACCATCAATAAACTAAAAAGAAAGAACAGAACAGAACTGTGCACAAAGGAACAAGGAGGAACACCACTCAGCTGGTACCTTAGTGTATGACCAAAGAACCGCCACACTTGCCAAGACAGGAAGGACCTTTGGAACTGTACATTTCAAAACAGGGAGTTTCTAAAAACTGGCTGTGTGGTTTTAATAACCTGCAAAGCCGCATGGCATATTTGCAAGGGTCTCCTCACCCAATCCTGTCCCCAGACCCTCCTTAGCTGTGGCCAGAGTCCCACCCATGTTTGCAGCCTCAGTGCTCAGGGAAGACAGCTGTGGAAAGTCCTGCCCGCCAGGAACCCCGATGCAGGCCAAGCTAGGGAGGCCAGGCACCTGTTTGAAGAGCTGCAGCTGGGTGGCATTCTGCAGGAACTGCCTCATGGCTCCCGAGCGATAGTGGGACACGAAGGCCTCTTCACAGAAGGTGATTGGCTCCTCCTGGGAAATGGAGGCGAGAGGATGGTTAGAGGAATGGAGCGTGAGGGGTCATTTCTTAAACTCGGCTGGCAGTGCTTCTACCTCTGCTAATTAGATTAATTAGATCCTCATCTACCTGGTGAAGTGGCTATTATCATTGCTGGCATTCTAGTCTCTGGATGAGAAAGCTGTGTTGGAGAGGAAGTCATTGCCCAAAGTCACAGAGCTGGTAAGAGGCAGAGTGGGACCAAAGACTGGAGTCCACCCCCGCCCCTAGCCTCATACATATCCCAACAGCAAGTCAGCGGGATGGGCCCTCTGATGTGATGACTTCCAAACTTTTCACTTTTAGAAGCAGAACCCTTCTTCAGATAGCACCTTAAGTAGGAGCAGCCCTGCTACATAAATCAGCCAGCTGCTCTGTGGGTGCTGGGTTGGTGGTTGGGATCTCCTGGCTTGGTGGTCTTCCCTCCACAACCCCCTCCCTGCACCTTAGCAGTTCCTGAGTCACCAGGTGTGGAACACGACTGGAAAACCATTTACCCAGTGATCTTAACCAATAGCAATTGTTTATAATTTTAAAACAATTATTTATATGGAAAAGCAGGGATGATCAAAAATAATATTTACCATCCAGTCAATTTTTGTACATAAGCTGTTGGATAAGGAAGTTTGTTTTTGCCAAGCTATGTTTTATGGGTCAAGCAAATGACACCCTAAGCTTAAAAAACATCCCATCTTGTAGCTGGCACCTCAATCCTTCTTTGAAGGTATCAGGGTGCTCATCTATACAGACAAGACTTTAGTTTTAACGGTGTATTCTTAATTCTGAAAGATCAGCTTTTATATCTAGAACTGAGTTAGAGGTACCCCTGGCTTCCCAGGCTTCGTGGCAAACAGAGATGTTTGAAGCTCCACTTTTATCCTGTTTTAATGAGTCACCTAAGTGTTAAATTTACTGTCTAGCGGCTGTAGATTCCGAGCTCCTCCTGCTTCGATCTGGCCAGTATGAGCTCCTCACTGGGCAGACTGGGCACAAAGGCTGCAAGGATGGCCCAAGAAAGTAGGGTGAGGGGAGTATTTAACTTTATACAGTTACACCCCTAATTTTATAAAGGATCTGAGGCAGCTTACATGAGTACACAGAACAGAGGAAAAAAGTAGAGCTTGAAAAGAAATAAATATATAAAACGTAATTATTTGGGAAAAGAGTATATGATTTCTAAAATTAAGTTATGAAATCAGCTCTGGGTTTCCTGGCTGTTGAAGCAAGGGAAACAATGCAAATTTTACATTGTCTATGAGAAAAAAAGCATACCAGTTCCTCAGGGAAAAAGACAGCTTTCATGCCATTTATTACTTCGCACAGCTTGACATCTTCCTTGCGAGAGATCAGCTAGGGAACCCCAGCAGAGGCCCAGCAGAATGCCATTCCTGTGGCCTGAAGTTTTGCTTCTCACCCTTGGGCCCAGAGCAGAGCAATGAATTCTCTCTCCGTGACACAGTGGGACTCATACTCTGAACGACTCCGAATACATATCGTCAGCTCCGACATTTTTCCTGAGCTCCAAACCTAGGTCACCATGCCCACCTGGATGGCCCACTAGCACTTCAAACTCAAAATGGCCCAATCCCACAATTATTACCCCATTTGCATTGTACTCCCAAACTGTCCTTCCTTCCTTCCTTCCTTCCTTCCTTCCTTCCTTCCTTCCTTCCTTCCTTCCTTCCTTCCTTCCCTCCCTCCCTCCCTCCCTCCCTTCCTGTCAATCATAGCTCCCCACAGTAGACCTGTCCGACTTCCTAGTCCTTCCCATTTACCAGTGCAGTGTCTCTGCTTGTCGCTGCTCTCCATCCACGACTGGCACAGGCCTGACTGATGTGTGGAGGGTTAACTCTATGTCCCTCTCCTGTTTCACTTCTCCCAGTGACTCCAACTCTTCAGGCAAAAGTGACTTCTAACATGCAGATTGCATCATGTCACTGTCCAGTCAAGAGTTTTGTTTGCAGAGATGTTGCATTTGTTTATTTGATTAATGTCTGCTTCTTTCACTAGACTACACGCTTCACATGTTCAGGAAGAGTACCTGCTTTGCTCAACATTGTACACCTATTGACATGTATGTCACATACACGGGGTCCTGGAGGGTGGGGGAGGAAAGAGAAAGTCCTAGCCCCTTAGCTGGGCAAACAAATCCTTCCCGAGCTGACCATCACTTTCTTTTCCAGAGTCTTTGTGTCCCTTCCTGTGGCTCCCCACATGCCTCATGCTCCAAATACCCCCTAACCACGTGTCGTATCCTTTCTCACTCTCTTCCTTGCTTCTGCCAGCTCCATTCCTTCTACCTGGGCCGTCCTTCTCATAAGCACAGGTCTTTTTGCCGTGGTCACTCACCCTGCTTGGCGCTCTCACAGTGTCTTGTGCATCCCTGGGTGCTGGGTAATCTGCACCAGTGCCCCCTGTGACCAGGAGCTTGAGAGGGCACAGACCTTGTTGGACTAATCTCTACACGCCCTGGGGACAGCACAGCATCCCCCCCCCGTTAGAAGCTCAGGGATGTGGGTTAAAGAAACAGAATGAGCTTGACTCTAGTCCCCGTCACAGGAGCCCTGCAGTCTTGGAGAGGCCGAGCCACTGCTTGCCTGACAGGTAAAGAGGTCTCAGAGAACGCTGCCAGGTGAGTGGCACTCGTGTCCAGGGAGCTCAGAGCTGCTCTGAAGGAAATGATGAGTTGTTAGCATTCCCTCCTGGAGCTTTGGCCCAGCACTGCCAGGAAGGAGAAGTCTACTGAGGGACCAATAAATTCAAGAGAGTTTACAACCTGATTTGTAGGTGAGGGTGGCCTGAGGCAGGATTTAGCCGCAGGAGAGCAGAAAGAATCTCATCTTTAGGGAGACATGAATATTCTGGGCCTGTTGTCTTTTCACTGGAGGTGACATCCTTGGATCAGATGTCTGCGTCACAAGAACAGACAAAAGGACATGGGCATGGATGGAGGGTTCAGGGAAATGTGACAATGGGAACTTTTTCTGCAAAGAGCTTGAAGAACAGCATCAGCTGTGTCCATCAACGTGGAAGCAAAATCCAACACCCAAGGCAGTGCTACTAGGGCAGGGTGGGCACAGTTTGTCCACAGGAAAAGGAAAAGGAAAAGGCTAATCATCTCAGGGCAGCAGGGCTGGAAATGTGACAGCAGGCCTGTGACATCAGAGCCCGGAAGGGTGAACAGGAGGTGGGTGAGCACGTCCCACCCATTCAGGGCAGGGTTCTATCCTAACCCTGCTGGAAGGCAGGGACACTGTGTAAGGGTCTGCGTGGCAACAGGCACAAAGGGCTCCTTTCCTGGGAGCTACTCGCCTTCCAAGAAAATGACAATAATCAACATTTCACCTAATCGTTACAGAATAACTGAGGCCAGGTAATAGCCCAAGGTCATACAGCCCGTAAATGGCAGAATCAGCGTTTTGCACCCTTGCGGCCCCCGAAGCTTGGCTGCTGCCATCATGCACCCACTGTAGGCGTGGTTTTCTCTGACCTCAGGCATGCGTTGGAGAGCAAGAGAAGTCTTTTCAAAGGTGGAACCCCTCAGGTTCTCCTGCCGGACACTCAAAGCACCAGTCACTCAAAGACAAAGGGCCCAGGAGTAGGCAAGCCGGGTGTGAAGGATCCTTCGGCCACAGGCCCTCCAGGATGCCAAGCCACTCACACCAGCTCTCCCGGCCCACCTCCTGCAGTTGAAATGGCCGCCCCAGCCCACTCTGTATCGGGAGGAGCAAGGCAAGGTGTCTTGTTAATTCTTCCCTTTGTAAGAAGTGCTGATTTAGTTCTCCTGTTAGGCTGATTAAAACTTTTGTCTTCTTCAGCGACACTCTAGGAGCTGGGGCTCCTGGCTGATAGTGACATTAATTCAGGGAAGCCAGGCCGTGAGCATTCAAGCTTAGATCGCATTAGTAGAGTTTTCCATCTATGACCTGAAGGACAGTTAAACACAGCTGCTTAACCCTATCAAGGATTTTGTTACAAAAAGATAAGTTTACTCTCAGATTATCTTCTTGACATATGGAATCAATTGAAAATTCCATTATTAATGAGTCAATCTTTGTTAACAGGTGAAGTCGGCGATTCCAAAAGTTTTTGATATTTCCAGAAATAGATGGATTCTACCCACAGCATTGTGGGTACTGGTATAAAAATAAAATCTCCCACCAGATTCTTCAGCAACTTTCCTCTTCTACTGATCCATACTTCAAGTATTAAATTATTATTTCCTCATAAATTTAATTTTAATCACAACTTTATGTGCGCATTTATTCTGAGTCTAAGAGAAAAAAGGTGTTATTTCTTTATAAACCTTGCTTAAAATAAAAATAAAAAAAGCTAATTCATCCATCCAAACATTAAAAAACAAAACAAAACACCTACTATGTAACAGGCTCTGTGTTAGGAGAATACAAAGATAGATAAAACATAGCTCCTCTGAGAACACTACTACTCCGGGGAGGAGTGAGGAGTGGATGAGGGTACGATGACACAAGAACGGCACAATGTGACGTTCACAGCAGCGTCAGTCACGACAGCAGAAGACGGAAGCAGCCCGAGTGTCTACAGATGGATGGATAAACAAGATACACACACAATGAAATGCTGTTCAGCTTAAACAAGGCAGGAATTTCTGGCATGTGCTGTAATATAGATGAGCCTTGAAGACATGCTAAGTGAAGCAAGCCAGCCACAAAAGGACAAATACTGTCTGATTCCACTGTAGACAGAGTGGTCAATTTCACAGAGACAGAACACAGCATGTGGCTGCAGGGGCTGCAGGAGGGAGAATGGGGGGTTTGTTGTTTAATGGGGACAGAGTTTCAGTTTTGCAAGATGATAAAAGTTTGGGAGATTGATGGTGGTGATTATTGTACAATGATGTGAATGTACTTAATGCCACTGAACTGTACACTTAAAAATGGTTAAAGCAGCCCTGGCTGGTTTGGCTCAGTAGTTGAAGCGTCAGCCTATGGACCAG